AGAGTGTTGGACTAGGACCTAGGAAACCAGGGTTAAAATCTGCTCAACCATAAAGCTCACTAGGTGACCTTGGACCAGTCGCAGTCTCTCTGTCTAACCCAGCTCACAGGGTTGTTGTGAGGATAACACCTGGAGCTCCTTGGAGAAAATGGTGGGAATATAAAGTGAAATAAATAAATAGCAATGATATCCAGTTGGCTTCAGTAAGGAGCAGGATTCTGCACTGGCAAGAGACACCTTGGGTCTTATCCAGACAGGCTCCTGTAATTTATTAATCCTCTGCGATGAATTGGAGGGAAAAATGTGGCAGCCCCCAATTGCATAATGCTTTGCTGCCCTACATGTCTGTTCTTGCCCGCTTTCCCCTCCGCTGCTTTGCCTCTTCATTTGTGTAAACAAATTGGGAGCTGAAGCCGGTTAAATGGGTGTTTATGTCAGCTTAGGCGACTGTGTAAACAGGCCAGCGTGAGATAACAGCTTAGTAATATTTATGGGTTAAAGTGTTTTCTCGCTGAACGAGAAGGTCCCCTTGCCTTGGTGCAAGGAAGGTCCTTAAAAAAAACAAAAACCACTCTGATTTTGAGACTGAAATGGAGAAGGAAGACATCAGGGACACTCAGCACGCACACAAAAATACTCTGTGTGCATTTGTAACGCCAAGCTGTCTCAGCTAAATGGGCATTAGAAAGCAATGGCAGAGCTTAAGCAATGAAACAAATTGAATGTTCCGAAACCCTGCCCCGCAGTTCCTCTGGGGTTAGAGTTACAAGGGCTTTTTTATGATGCTAGAGAAGAAACTTGAGGGCATCTCATAGGCATTGCCTGGCGCAGGATGGCTGCGGCAAGAGGGCCGGTTGCTGCAAGAGTTCCAGATCAGGCAAAGCTTTTGAGAGAGCTAAAGTTGCACCAGGCTAAAAACTGTCAACCAGGTAGCCTGGCCTTTGCCTTGAATTTCTCTTCTACCATTAACCATGGTCAGGTGAGACTTGGGGAAGGTCTGTGGGACACCTGTAGTCTCCATCTTGAGCATGGCACCACCAGAGGGACACGGCCTGGCCTCTCCATCACACTCCATGGGCACTGATTTAATGACCCATTGGTCATTAAAAGAGCTTGGGCCAGTCACCACCTCTCTGCCTAACCTACCTCACAGGGTTGTTGTGAGGATTGTAAGAGGAGGGGAGAGAACCATGTAGGCCACTTTGGGCTCCCTGGAGAGGATAAAAGTGGCATATAAATGCAAACAATCAATTTGTGGTCTTTAAAAAAAACAAAAACCCCAAGATTGGTGTCCACCTCCCTCTTTTCCTGCCAACCTCAAGTCCTGTGTTCTTAAAGGTGTACAGAAGCAATTGTATGCACAGGGGCTCTTTCTAAACCTTCTTAAGAACATGTGGAGGTTAGGGTTGCATGATCCAGCTAAGTCTCCACACATTTATATAAAGGTGTCTGAAAGGGTTTTAGGAGCCTTTTGGCAAGTCGCTATGCCTTTATCTTCTTTTGTAGACAAAGTGCAGGGGCTGAGGCTAATACTGGGCTTTTCTGGGCAATCTGTTTGTTCATCCTGATTTGCTTGCAGAAAGCTTACAGCGAGGTTAGACTATGTCCGGTTTTTTACTGAGCATTTGCTGGGATCTGTTTACGTCGCATGTGGATGACAATGAACTTTCATTCCTGCATCCATCTCCATTTGCCTGCAGGGTATTTACACGTCTTCCTGTTAATCAGTGATTTAGGGGGTACGCAGTATCGGCACCTCTTTCTGTTGTTGTTAAAAAGTGGGACACTAACTGTAACAACTTCGTGGTGAGTACCGGCATCTATTTTTCTAGGGGGGAAAGCATTGTTGTTCACCGTTTATTTTATCTCACACTTTTCAATGCATTTCCTCTTCGCTTTCCAAATTGCAAAAGGCCTTTTCTGGGTGTGTGTGTGTTAGGTGTACTGGAAAGTAGTTTTTCCTCTGTACAGAATTGTGTGTGCTTGTCTTCAACATGCTGCTTTCAGTTCAGAATGATTCAAGATTCTGCAGCCCTCAAGGGTGGTTTGATCTGCACTTGAACTCCCACCCCCACCCCTGTTTTTTGTTGGAAGACATTTGTCTCGAAAGCCCTCCCTTTGATTGGGTTACCCATACCTTTTCCTCCCTGCACATGCGCCAGTGAATAAGGAAGGAAGTGGTAATTGCTTTCTTGATATATGGCTCCCCTCTCCAGAAAATCATTAGGCAGGTGAGGCTACAGCCCACCCCCCACCATTGCTGGAACTGCCACCATCCTTTTGCAAATGGACACACACACAAATGGCTAATGCTAAATCAATTTGATTTGAGCTCTATATTTTGGCAATGAAACTAGCTTGTGAAAAAGTGCTTTTGGGGGCATTAAAATAAAATGGAAGCAGGTCCAGATTGTGTGTGGACTCGGTAGGAAAAAACAAGATGCCGGTGTGCCTTGAATGTCATGCACACGCCGCCTGAGTGCAACACCTGGATTCTAAATGACAGATACAAACCGTGGGGGAAGGGAATTGCAATATCTGCAAGGCAGGCTGGACAGTAAACTAGGGCAAAGGGTCAGCCAGGTCTCTCGTGCGATCCAGAGTTCCCTGCAGCAATCTGGCAGTTTGCCGGGTGATAGGTCACACCGGCCAGCCCTTCAAGAAACAATGCATGTGCTTTGGTAAACGAAAATCTTCAATAAAAATTATTTAAAATAATAATTTAAAAAATCTTTGGATTTCTGCACTTGCACAGCTCCTCTGGAATGTAAATCTGAAAGCTTTGTTGCAGAACGAGGCGCTTACCAAGGCAACAGCCACACACACCCTTTTCCAAAGTGGTTAATGGACTGACTGTGGGGTGGGGAATCTCAGAACCAGCGACCACATGTTTAAGAGTTACACACCCTGCTCTGCGCCCCCTTTTGACTGCGTTGGCCTTCAATTACGAGAATGCCTCTCGCTGACTTGGATGATGGAGAGGTGTGGGGGTGGGCAGCAGCTGCAGGCGCAGAAACCTCTGGCTCTCGCGTGGCTGTAATGTAGCCAAGTGTACAGAAGCTGAGAGTCACTCCCATCCATTGATATGCCTCTGGCCCTGTCCTGCACTTGAATGCGGCCCCCAGAAGGTTGCCCACATCATGGGAATGTGGCCCTTGGGCTAAGAAAGGTCCCACGCCTGGACTAACTGGAAGAAGTGGAGCAGCAAGGATTTGAACCCGGGGAAGAGAATGTGCTCTGATTGGCTGGTCATACCAGGTGTGCTGTGATTGATCCCTCCTTCCTGTAAATAAAGGAAGCCTCACTTCTTAACTCAGCCACCGTGAGAGTGTGTTTGGCTGTCCTTTACGTACCTCTTAGAGGTTGTGTTTTCTGCCCCTTTTAGTTCTTGCTGCTTATATTTGGAGGGGGTGGAATTGCAATTGTGTAATTACAATTTGAAAACAACAAACAAATATGAGAAATGCATTAGCTGGCTCAGGATACTGGAGCTTGCCAAAGCTTTGATCTTCAGCTGCAATAACCGGTTCATATCAGCTTGGCTTGCACCAAACCTTGGTTTACTGGGACCCCGGAGGAGTGTGTCCTTTTTGTTATTGTGCTGAGTTAAAGTTTGGTTTAATGAATTGTTTGAACAGTTAAGCTCTCTCTCTGTCTCTCTCCTCCTTAACCATAAGCTGCGGCCAGGACCTTACTTCCTGGTATACCTTGGGCAATTCCAGCCTGTTGTTATTTCTGAGTGGGATTCAGTCACATCCCAGAAAATTCAAGTTACAGGCAACTCCCCATTTACGTGCATTCAAGGCACATGCAACCCTACAAGGGCGCATCATGTTGAACCTGAAAGTGACCCAAAAACATGACAAAAAGGGATGGAATGGGGTGTTTGCAAGCTTTTTCAATTGTGTTTCAAATATACCCCCATTTCACTTAAACATCTGGTACCTTGGAACGTAACCCCCATGTAAATTGGGAATTGCCTGTACTAATTGGTTTGGGTGGTGTTGTGCAACCAGCCTGTTTTCCCAAAATATGACTTTTTGCACTAAGGAAAATGACCGAAAAACGCACTGGAAAGTTTGGGATAACACTTGCCTCATTTCCACACAAATCAGGGTGTTCATCACACAGCCAACGTTGTCTAATGTCCCTGCAAATAAACCAGGATGAATGCTCAGCTAACAGTCCTCTGGGTTTGTCCTATCACTTGGAAGCAATTTGCTGCTTTCCAGCTCCCTGGGGAAAGAGCTTAGCAAAGTTCCTGTCCCAGTGCACCGTCAGTAACACAACCATCCATCTTTATTTATTGAGTTATTGTTTGTTTGTTTTTTAATCCCACCACGTTGCAAACGGAGCCTCAAGGCAGCTTAGAATGAACAGCATAATTTATTTTGCTATAAGCAAAACAGCATGGCAAAAGATAATAGACCCAACCAACAGGGAGGGAAATGAATGAATATAATAAAAAATAGCACGTAAGACAACATCTTTTCCCGGCAGGTGGAAATAGATGCAAGTCTTTTACAGCTTCGTCAAATGCCAACTCCTGTTTCTCCTCACCCCCCCTCCCCGCCTTGATCCTGGTCGACCCTTTCTGAGCAAGCGGAGGGGGAGAACCCGAGCAATTACAAGAAGAACCTGTTGCCCACGACCAATTTTAACAGCAATGTGTGTACAGGATTAAACCCGGGTCTGGAAGGAAGAAGCCCCTTCGTCTGTTTTTGCTGCAACGGACTAAGGCTTCCTTGCTTTGCCACGGGCTGAAAAGGTTCGACTCCCCTCCAGGTTGTTGTTTTTTTGCACCGAAGTCTTGCAAAAGGCGCGGCGCATTAAGAGCAGGGCTCTAGCGAGGAAGGGGGTCTAAGGTAGGCTTTCTCCTCGCCCCCTGGCGCTCCGCTTAAGCGCGACTCCTCTCTGCTGTTGCAGGCGAGTCTTCTAGAGCAAGCGTGCGAGGAGGGCTGGGCTCCCGGTGCTCTTGGGGGTGGGTGGGTGGGTGTGTATCCCCCCCTCGGAGCAGTGCAGCTCCCCTCCCCCCTCGCACCTGACGTCAGCTTTCTGGGCTTCTCCTCCAAGCCCCTCCGATGCATTTGGACTCTCGGCTCTGGCACCGGGAACAATGAGTCGCTGCCGGCTTGCAAGCTTCGCCCGCGCCTGCCTCCTGCTCCTGGCCGGCTGCTGCTGCAGCAGAGGTGAGTGGCGGGCAACAAAGGGAGAGGGAGAGAGGGGCTGAGCGGGCAACTTGCGCTGCAGATTTGCAGGGCAGCGCTGTCCCAGGTAAGCCTTGGGCACCGCGGCGCTGCTCCCCTCCGTTTGCAAATCAAGAAGGCGCGGGGGAAACGTGCTTTGTCTTGTTAACTCTTGCCGAACCCCCAACCCCCGATTCCAATTCTGCAAGGATTCCCCGGGTTGCTACGATTAGTTTTTTTATGGTGTTAGAACCGAAGGTGTGAATGTTTTTCCCCGGGGATTGCTTCCACACACACACACCCCCCAATGTATTTCTGTCCAAGCCACGAGGAGATGCATATTTCGAGATGCCTAGAGCTGGATCTATATAAATATAAATAAACACACACAGGTGGGGAAGGAGACGCACACAGTTTGCAGAATGGGCTTTGCAAAAACACACCCACCTTCTCACACTGCCTCTCCTCCGCGGTGTAACCGCTACTGTAAGTGATTTGCAACTGGTGGCAGAAAAGGGGGCGTGTTGCGTTGCGCTTGTGTGCAAACCGGCCCACCGGGGGGGGGGATTTTGGTTGGATTCCCCTCCCCCCCATATTTTTGCTAAAAAATATTTTGCTATGGGATTGGGGGGTCCTGATGCATGCAATCCCCACCAGAGTCCACACGACATCGTTGGCATGAAAAATACCAGCTCCCCCCCCAAATCACAGATCTATGTGGAAAATAAGCTAAAAAAAATAAGAGAGGAAAACCTGTTGCCAACGATATCTGAGACCCCCGTTTGAAAATCAAAAGCGCTGTCTAGAAACCCCTCCATGTTCTCCCCTTTTGCAAACCCTTTCCTTCCCCCATCTTTGATTTACTGCGGAATATTTGGGTGTCAGAACCTTCCACGTTCTGCGAGTGCCTCTGAGCCTCGTGGGGTGAAGAAAAGTCCCAGAAGGGAAACAGCCTGTCCTTTGTACTGTAAAGGGTTTAGGATGGGGATTTCCCAAATGATCAATCTGCCCACCCCCAAGGATATGAGAATGGGGGGGGGGTTATTACAGACGTGAGAGGCTGGTTGGTGGAAGGGGGTGTGCATCAGCCCCGGTTCCTGTACTTATAGTACACATTTGTATACGTTTTGAGCCCCTCCGGGCAGGATCTGTGCACCTCCTATGCTGTGCACAGCGGGAAGCGTTGATAATCGAGAGTTGTAGATTATGAAGACTGATAATTGTACGTGAATCGCTTTGAACATACTGTAAGCGGGGTGCTGAGTCTTTCTATGGCCACAGTTTATTATCTGGCAGACGCTATTGTTCTGAAATAAAGCACGCTCCTTGCCCCCCCCCCTCCCATGGGGTTGAGCTGTCTTAATCAGGTTAAGCACCCCAGCTCATGCTTTGTTTTCACTGGGATTGTTTATTGTGAATTTGCCTGCCTCAGGCTCCCCGCTCTACACGCCCCCCCCATAGTATGGGGAAAAGGATCTGGGTGAAGCAGAGATTTAGGGTGGGGGTGGAACATCCCATCCCTTGATTCTGCAAGACTTGTTCTAAGATGCCTAGAGAGGAAGGTTGAAGCCAGAGGTAGGGTGGTAGGAAGCTATCTCTTATACCAGGTCAGGTCAGTGGGACATCTAATTCAGTGCTGCCTACACGGGCTGGCAGCAGCTCTCCAGGGTTTCAGGCAAGGACCTGCTTGGAGATAGATGCTGTTGGGGATTGAACCTGCAACCTTCTGCATCCAAAGCTGTTGCTCTGCCCATGAGCTGAGTCCCTTCCTCAAAAGTTCCTGTTGGCCATCTATTGAAGAGAAGGTTCCCATGTCTCCCCCACAAGTTTAGGCAAATGCTAAGTGTGTTCACTGGGATTTGGACAGAGGGAGCATTTATAGATTTTTGAGAAGTGAGTGAAGCCAAAGCCCCGTTGAGATGACAGGAGGATTGGCATTGCCTCCCCACCCCCACCCACCAAAAACGAGGGCACAGAGGGATTCTGGGCACATGCTCTGAGCTCAGCTTCTGTCTGGAACAGACTGCATCATCGGAGCCTGTTTGTCTGAGATTTTAACGGCGGCATCATCCAGAGTGTAAGTTTTAAGGCTGCTGCCGTGGCACCAGTTTTCCTGTTGGTGTGTCATAGCAAACCTGTAGGCATGCACCCCAAAGATGCTGTTCAATATCTGCCCTCCAAAAATGGGGATCTCAAAATTTGGACTCTACATGTGACCAAAAGCTGACAAATTGTTGTAACGTTTGTACAACAATTTCCTTTCGTTTGTACAAACAAGTCTCCAGTTTTGTGTGTGCAAAGCTTTCTTTTTGCTGCGTATGTTTTCAGTAAAAGGATGAGCAAACTTCTTCAGATAAGGGAATACAGTTTTTTTCCTGTTTTTGTATTGGTTTATTTATTACCTGCTCATTAAAATATTTATAACCTGCCTTTTCTCTCCAAACGCTCCAGGGCAGTGCTCAACAATGAAATGAGATGCATAGTCAATACATTAACATTTATGTAAAGTAGCAGTTTAAGCTTACAGATAGAGTCAGTGGCAATTGGGAGGTGGGAGGCTTATCTGGCGACTCAGAGGGCTTGTGGAGTCCTTTGAAATAACACAGCAAAGCTACAGTGACTTTGTTACAGCAAAGCTAGTAGCAAAAATGGAACGAAGGGCAGAGAAAGATGCCAACACAAAAAAGGCCTTGCTCTGGATAAGCTACACACCCCAACTGCATTTAAAATAGTGAGGTACCTGAATAGGGCTGGATGATATCTGGTTTTCAACATCATGATATATCATGATATATATACTGATATATCACAATGTCTGAAATAAAGGTGGAGCTATGTAAAGGCATTGGCTGGCTTAACAGTTTCCCCCACCTGATTATTTTTGTGTAGCATGAGTATAAACTTATCATCATTCGTGATCTATTGCCAGGACAAAAAATTATGAAACCAATATCACAATATGGACTTCAAACCGGTTTTGGGCGATATATCGCCCAGCCCTCTATCCTTCACCTCTGTGTACTTTTTAAGGGAAGAAAAGTAGCCACTCTCATCACTTTCAAGGGGGCAGTGAGTGTTTGCATGTGTTGGGGTGGGGAAGGCTTAGGGCAGCCTTTCTCAACCTGTGGGTCCCCAGATGTTGTTGAACTACAACTCCCATCACCCCGAGCTAGCAAGGCCAGAGCTCAGGGATGATGGGGACCCACAGGTTGAGAACCGCTGGCTTTGGGGCTTTTGTGGGCAGCAGGGAAGACCTCCAGGACATAATGGTGCCCATCAGAGCCGCTGCTGGTCAGTTTAGACAATACTGAACTAGATAAACCGAAGGCGTGGTTCATTATAAGGCAGCCTCCTACACTCCTATGGCGTTCTGACCTTGCTGTGTGGGGTCATGCGCAGCCCCAGCTATGCATTTTAAATTTATTTCCCCGCCTTGCATAAAACAAGCGGGTATGTGCTGCACCTTCAGAGTAAGCGGAAGGGTAACATTAGCAACTGGGAAGAATTTGCAGTTGGTGTCCCATGCGGCTCGTGAGATCTCCTCGAGCCCTCATCCCAGAAGCTGAGCCATAAAATATCTGCAAAAAGAGGCTCTGTCGTTTGGACTGCTGCCTGAATTCCACTCCCCACCCCCTGGCTAATGGGAACGGCCTGCTCAGCACTTCCCACCGCGGCTCGGCTGCTGTCTTTCTTTGTGAAGTCTGCTGCTGCAGTGATGGCTGTGGGAAGGACGGCCTTTCCGTGTGTAGCTGCAGGGCTGGGCACATTCCTAACATCATATTGGTTTATTTTTAGGAGCCCAAAGCAAGCCGCTCACCTGGGGCTCTCCTATGCATTTGATACATCCTTGGGATGTAGTGGGGGGGGGGGAATAATTTCCTGGTCCCTGTGGACTAAGGAGAGCAGTCTCGCTGCTAACCAAATGGCCACTGGTTTGCTGGTCCCCATGAGAGGCTAACTGGTGTATTAATTCATTATAACATAGCTTTTAGATATCGCTTTAAATAACTGGTGGCTGGTGTCCTTTGGGACTGGGAGGGCAGAGGGACCAAGGGTAGGCGGAGCCATAGTCAAGAGATTGGCAGAAGTAATTCCGCTTTTATTCCTATCCTCCGCCCTGCTGAGTTCAGCAAGGACAGCGCTGAGGCCAAAGAGCATGGGTAGGCAAACTAAGGCCGGGGGGGGGGCTGGATCCGGCCCAATTGCCTTCTAAATCCTGCCCGTGGACGCTCCGGGAATCAGCGTGTTTTTACATGAGTAGAATGTGTCCTTTTCTTTAAAATGCACCTCTGGGTTATTTGTGGGGCCTGCCTGGTGTTTTTACATGAGTAGAATGTGTGCTTTTATTTAAAATGCATCTCTGGGTTATTTGTGGGGTATAAGAATTTGTTCACCCCCCCCCCCAAATATAGTCCGGCCCCTCACAAGGTCTGAGGGACAGTGGACCGGTCCCCTGCTGAAAACGTTTGCTGACCCCTGCCAAAGAGGAAGAATCTCACAGGCAGTGAGTAGTAAACTGCTCTGGTAGTAAGCAAGGAGGCAGGCAGGTGGGGCAGTGTTAGAAACTCAGATATACAAGCTAGGCGCCAAATGGCTCCTTCAACCAGGCTTACAGTCGCCAAAACGGAATGCCTAGTTGCCATTTTGGGGGGCCAAGATGGCTTGAAAGTTGCATTTTTCAATACAAGCTTTTGGTTCCTGAAATTCATTCTGATGGTGCAGATAAAATATCGTGGATAGAATTCTACAGGATGTGTTGCTCGTGTGTAAAAACAGTGAGGATCCAAGGATCCCCAGGCTTGCATCTCCAGATGGTGGAGCCGCCAGTCGCCATCCTGGCACCTGGGCATCTTCACTTGGTCGCAAATGGTCGATAGCCATTCGCCTGGTGAATTTCGAACACTGAGGTGGAGGTATTGACTACGGTTGATGGGGCAATGCCCCGTCTGCTCAAATGGACCAGCTTCCACTGGTTCAGAGTGTTTGTGGCACCACCCATTAAT